GCTTCACAAGACTGTCTGCAATGAGTAATGTTCTTTGTTCTGCTTCTCTAAGCTAGGACAGAACACACAACGTGGAACAGGGAGTTAGGGCTCTGTTCCCTCAACAGAGTGCCTCCTGGTCCCCAACTCTTGAGATTCTAATTGTGTTGTGTCTCTCCTTCAGGCTATGCAGTCTCTCTCTGAGGATTCTCTGAAGCCCTGCGACAAAGGACATAGTTGTAAAAGTGCACAAAAAGGAATGCCAGCAGTGGTGTGCGAGGCAAGGGCCTTGTTACACCACACAGCTTGTCAAACGGTTCAGCTAACTGTCCCTTCATCCTCTCCTGGCGAGTTCCATTTTTATCTTGTAAAACTCACAAACTCCTCAGAATTTCAATGGTTCCTACTGGAAAATTTCAAATGTAGATCAGTTTTTATAGTCAACAAACAAGTTTGTTAGCTTCCCGTGTGAACTGAGATTCTCCGAAGAAGACACATCTGTGCTGAAAATCCTGCAGACTGAACAGAACTTTGTAACTGGGGAGAGATAGTATGTTGCAGACAGAGTCAAATGATCTTGGGCCATCTTTATTTTATTCTTGTTTGATGTGTATTGCCTGCATGTACATAAGTGCACCCATGTCATGCAATGCCCATGGAGGTCAGAAGAGGCTGTTGGATCCCCTGGAAGGAGTTATGGACAATTGTTGGGTGCTGGGATTTGAACCTGGGTCTTCTGCAAGAACAGCCAGTGTTCTTAACTGCTGAGCCATCTTGCCAGTCCCGATCTTGGGCTATCTTTAGTCCCCTTAATCTACTACCAACCTAAGAGCTTTGTGACTACTAGGTAAAACCTTTGGAGTGCACTGTCTAACGGAGTAGACCACTAGCTTCCACCAACTCTAAAGCTACGACTGTTGTAAGACAGCATTTGAAACCTACCGCAAACATTTCCCAAGCCTGCTGCTCCCCACTTTCCTGACCTCTCCAACAATGGATTTGGTAAATGCAGTTATTTATGACTTACTGTTGTGACTATAAAACAGTTAATGTGGCCTCTTCCACAGTAAAACATGTCATTCAGGAAACTTGAATCCGTGTTACTAGGCTATGGCCATTCATATCTGGGTCAGAATAAACTCTTACTTCCTTTGGAGCAAGAGTTCTGTTGTGCATTAATACCTACCAGAAGGAGAAAGGCCACCTTTCTCCACCCTTACAGCATGATCCATCTCTACAACAGTGGTTCTCCAATGAATGAATTTGCTCTCAGGACACTGGCAACCTCTGGAGACATTTTTAGTTGTCACAACTCAGATAACCCTGGCGTCTTGTGAGTGGAGGCTAGGAATGACACTAAATATCTTACAACACACAGTACAGTTCCCAACAAAAGGCAACAATCTGGCTCTAAACTGCAACGGTGCCAAAGTTGAAAAACTCCAGTCTAGCCCTTAGGAAAGAAGGAATCCTGACAATGTCAACCCAAGACAGGCCTAGTGTGAAAGGACCCTGGAGAGTGCAGCACCCACAGACCAGATTTTCTGGTTAGCGTTCTCGGCACAGAGAGAAAGAAGGACGGCAAAGACAATGTGTTTGCATCTGCAGAGAAGCTGCCATTTCTGTACTGATAAATATTATACAAACCTGAACTTGGTAAACAAAAAGAATGCTAGCTGGGACTATGGGCAATCCTATTCGGGCAGCAGTCACTTAGGAAAGAAAAGAATAAACCAACGCTTGCTCCAATCTGTGATTAATTCTACAGTAGAGAAGCTTCCTAGATTGGAGAAGCCAAAAGTCGTCAATATGATAGACTTGCCATAGGAATCCATTCTATCTCTTTGTAAAATTATCACATTAGCTACCCTTTAAGCTAAAAATTTTATTTTTATTTTATGTGTAATTATGCCTGCATGTGTGTAAGTGCATGTATGTAAGTGCACCCATGTCATGCAGTAGCCACAGAGGTCAGAAGAGGGCATTGGATCCCCTGGAACTGAAGTTAAGGATGGTTGTTAGCTGCCATGTGGGTGCTGGGATTTGAACCCAGGTCTTCTGCAAGGGCAGCCACTCTTAACCATTGAGCCATCTCTCCAGCCCCCACACTAGCTAGTCTTATTTATTTGTTGCTCACATCCTCATAGAAAATGATGAATCCAGCAAAATATTTTTTTTTTTTTGAAATTTGGTCCTTTTTAAAATATGTATTTTGGGGGCTGGAGAGATGGCTCAAGGGTTAAGAGCACTGGCTGCACTTGCAGAGGACCCAGGTTCAAATCCCAGCACCCACATGGCATCTAACAACTGTCCATGACTCCAGTTCCAGGGGATCTGACATCCTCTTCTGCCCCCTGCTGGCATTGCATGACACAGGTGCACTTAACACACATGCAGGCAGGTACACTCATATACATTTTAAAAATTAATTTTTTAAAAAATGTATTTTTATTGAATTTTTGTGGATTTCATACATCTTAATCATATTTAGGCCCCCTTTCCTATCTGCACCCCCGCAGCCCACCCACAGAACTTCATGCATTTTGCCATGTATGTTAGGGCCATCGAGTCAAGTTTGTGAACCCAGATGTCCATCGGCGTGAGTTCATCCACTGGAGCCTATTCAGCTTGTCTAGCATCACTCCCTTAAAGATCAACTCACCCACACCAGCAGTGATCAGCTGCCAATAGTTCCTTGCCAAAGTTATGGCCTCCTGCCTTTTCCCCAGGTCTGTGCTGGTTTTTGTCTGAGTTTGCATGGGTAGGAATATGGACTTTTAAAATATTTTTATTTTTTTATGTGTATTGCCTGCATGTAAGTGCAACCATGTTGTGCAATGCCTTCAAAGGTCAGAAGAGGGCTTTGGATCCCCTGGAACTGGAGTTCAGGATGGTTGTTAGCCGCCATGTGGGTACTAGGAACTGAACCCAGGTCCTCTGCAAGAGCAGTCAGTGCTCTTAACCAGTGAGCCATCTTTCCAGTCCTGCAAAATTTTGAAAAGTATTCCAAATTAAATCAAAGGCAATTACTCAAGTAAAACACGTGTGACAAGAACTCTTTTAGGTTGTAATATTTTCGAATTGTTTTTTAAAAATATTTGAGCTGAAAAGACAGCCCAGTTGTTAAGAACACTTGCTATACTTCCAGAAGACCTGGGTTCAATGCCCAGCACTCACATGGTGGCTAACAACTGTAACTCCAGTTCTGGGGAAATCCAGCGCCCTCTTCTGGCCTCCACAGGCATTGCACACGGTGCACTTACCATGCAGGCAGTACACTCACACACATTTGAAAAATAAATTAAAAAAAAAGAAATTACGGGGCTGGAGAGATGGCTCAGCAGTTAAGAACACTGGTTGTTCTTGCAGAAGACTTGGGTTCGAATATCAGCACCCACATGGCAGCTAACAACTGTCCATAACTCCAGTCCCAGAGGGTCCAACAACCTCTTCTGACCTCCACCGGCATTGCACAACACGGGTGCACTTACCTACATGCAGGCAATACACACATACACATAAAATAAAAATAATAAAAATTAAAAAAAAATAAATTTTGTTTACGGATGTTGACAATCTTGGGGTTTTCTCTAAGATCTACAAATTACAAATACTCAAGATTTTTTTGTGATAAAATGCTTTCTTCCTAAAATGTAAACACACAGTAAGTAAAACACCCTGCCACTCCAGGCACAGAGACACTAGTATGTCACTTATGGAAGAGATGCATTTTAGTAAATTGGTGCTAAGGTTTCCATTTGTCTTAATATAAAGTACTTCACAAAAGAACCAGTCCATTTATTATTGAAATTTTTACTCCTTCACTAGCTTTCCTTGTTTGAATAAAAAAAATCATTAATTTCTGTGGAATTCTGGCTACTAGACCAGGCCACATAGACGGTTTGAAACATCTGAAAGCCATTTGGCTGGAGAAGACTGCTTAATTTTATTTTTATTTTATTTTTTTTATTTTTTGGTCTTTTTCAGACAGGGTCTCCCTATAGCACCAGCTGATCTGGAACTCTCTATGTACACCAGGCTGGCCTCGAACTCACAGAGATCTGCCTGCCTCTGCCTCCTGAGTACTGGGATTAAAGGCATGCACCACCATGCCTGGTGGCTTTTTTTTTTTTAATTATTTTTAATTATTTTTATTTTATGTGTATGAATGTATTGCCTGTATGTAAATGCACCTTTGTCAGGCAATGCTCACAGAAGTCAGAAGAGGGTGCTGGATTCCCTGGAACTGGAGTTATGGATAGTTGTTAACTGCCATGTGGGTGCTGGGACTCAAACCCAGGTCCTCTACAAGAGGAATTAGTGCTCGTTATCACTGAGCCATCACTCCAGCCCTGAAAAAAACTGCTTTCTTGGCATTTAGAGCTAGTCACAATTTTGTGCTCGAAGGCATTCCTCAGGGAACTTCTTTCCTACAGTCTTCAGAGTAAGGCACAGGATCGGGTCTCTCAGAAGGGGTTGCTTCCAGCTGGAACACCGAGCAGGCTGGCGTCCTTGCAGGCATTCCCCATGCTGTACTGCTGAAGCTCTGCAGCTGCCTGAGAGACCGCGATCCTCTTGATGTCTGCTTCCATCTCGAGTTGTTCCACCTGGCCTGCAGGGCACTCACGCTGGCCCCGAAAGACAAGGGGGTCCCAATGTTATTTAATTGAGCAGAGCATTTCCCTGCCTCTGCACTTTCCTTTACACACCCCTTTGACCTGGAATCTCACCCTTCCGCTGCTTTACCTAACCCTAAGCTTTCCCTTCTTTGGATGGGCAGTTCAAGCTCCATCTCCTAGAAGCACATCTGCCCGTACTATTCCCTCAACGGTGGCAATATTCTGTTCTCTACTGCCCTAATACTCACTTTTTAAAAGGCAGAACAGCCCATCTCCCTAATAAAAAATGCAATTTCCTTGGTGTCAGGATTCCCTGGAACTGGAGTTATGGATAGTTGTTAACTGCCATGTGGGTGCTGGGACTCAAACCCAGGTCCTCTACAAGAGGAATTAGTGCTCGTTATCACTGAGCCATCACTCCAGCCCTGAAAAAAACTGCTTTCTTGGCATTTGGAGCTAGTCACCATTTTGTGCTCGAAGGCATTCCTCAGGGAACTTCTTTCCTACAGTCTTCAGAGTAAGGCACAGGATCGGGTCTCTCAGAAGGGGTTGCTTCCAGCTGGAACACCGAGCAGGCTGGCGTCCTTGCAGGCATTCCCCATGCTGTACTGCTGAAGCTCTGCAGCTGCCTGAGAGACCGCGATCCTCTTGATGTCTGCTTCCATCTCGAGTTGTTCCACCTGGCCTGCAGGGCACTCACGCTGGCCCCGAAAGACAAGGGGGTCCCAATGTTATTTAATTGAGCAGAGCATTTCCCTGCCTCTGCACTTTCCTTTACACACCCCTTTGACCTGGAATCTCACCCTTCCGCTGCTTTACCTAACCCTAAGCTTTCCCTTCTTTGGATGGGCAGTTCAAGCTCCATCTCCTAGAAGCACATCTGCCCGTACTATTCCCTCAACGGTGGCAATATTCTGTTCTCTACTGCCCTAATACTCACTTTTTAAAAGGCAGAACAGCCCATCTCCCTAATAAAAAATGCAATTTCCTTGGTGTCAAGGACACAGTTAAGTGTATTCCTCTCCAAGACTTGCCCAACTTTTATGTAAAGCAATGATAACCTAAGCTCTTCCTTTTGGTATTACTGGTAAAAGGTTTTTCCTGTTCAATAGCTCATAGTCACCGAGTCTTTGCCACGTCAGGAGCTTTTTGACACATAGAATATCTAATATCTCACTTAAACTAATGCTCTCCCTCTTTGCAGAAAAGGAAATGGAAAGGGAATAGAGAAGTCACTTGTCTGAAATCATCAGGCTGAGGTGATAAGAGAAATTCAAACTCAAGCAGCCTGATCCCACAGCTTATGATGTTTCTTCCATTTCACATGGAGAATTTGTTTGCCTACTCTCAGTGCACTTTGTTTTGCTATAACAGAATACCAGAGTCTGGGTAATTTATAAATAACAGTTCTGGAGGTGTGGAAGTCCAAGACCCAGATGCCGGCATCTGGTAAGGGTCTTCTGGTTGTACCATCCCACAGTAGAAGGTGAAAGGGCAAGAAGGAGCTCAAGGGGTTCTCTTAAGAAACCCACTGGCCAAGCTAGAGAGATGGCTCAGCGGTTAAGAGCACTGATTGCTCTTGCAGAGGACCTGGGTTCAATTTCCAACACCCACAAGGCAGCTAACAACTGCCCGTAATTCCAGTTCCTGGGAATCTGATGCCCTCTTCTGGTCTCCATGCGCATTACATGACATGGGTGCACTTACACGTGCAGACAATACATTCATACACATAAAATTAAAATAATAAATAAAATATTAAAGGAAGAAACCCACTCTCACAGGGCTGGGGAGATGGCTTAGTTGGTAAAGTGCCTGCAGCACAAACATTAGGACCTGAGTTTGGATTCCCAGAACCCATGTAAGAAGCTGAGCATGGCAGTGTACATCTGTAATGCCTGCATTGGAGACAGGGGCAGCTGTAGACAGGCAGATCCTCCAGTTCAATGGCCAGGTAGTGTGTCAGTGAGCTCCAGGTTCAGTGAGAGACTGTGTCTCAAAAAATAAGGTGGAGATTGACTAGGGAACACACTTATTGTTGACCTCCGACCTCCACATGCACATGCACACTACCCTGTCCCCCGCTACCCCCAAAGAAACTAACTCTCACAAAAGTGGCACTCAGCCATCCATGAGGGCAGTGACCTTAGGGACTAAACGTTCCATTTCCTAGTACTTGAGGATCAAGTTTTCAACATCAGAACTTTGGAGGCCACATTAAAACCATAACATCTACTAAACTGGGGAGATGGCTCAGTCAGTAAAGTGCTTGCCACACAAGCACCAGACCCTGAGTTTGGATTCGCAGCTTTCACATTTAAAAAAAAAATTCAGGTGTGGTGGTGTGTGCTCATCATTGGTGCTGGAGAGGCGGAGACAGGAGGATCACGGGGGCCTGTTGTCTGGCTAGTCTTGTCAAATGATGCGTTCCAGGTTCAGGGTGAGACCTTATCTTTTTTATTTTATCTTATATGTTTGTATTGTCTGCATGTATGTAAGTGCACCCATGTCATGCAATGCCCTTGGAGGAAAGAAGAGGCTGTCGGGTGCCCTGGAACTGGAGTTACAGACAATTGTTAGCTGCCATGTGGGTGCTGGGATTCGAACCCGGGTCTTCTGCAAGAACAGTCAGTGTTCTTAACCACTGAGCCATCTCTTAAAAATAAGGTGGAAAGGGATAGAGGAATATACGTGACTTTGAATTCTGCCCTCCACAAGTAGACATGTATACACACACCTGCACACACACAATATGTGTGTACCCATATAAATACAAATACAAAACAAAACAAATAAACTGTGGCACTTAACCACACTTTTTCTACCTGGAGGTCACATGTGTATGTTCCAAACAAACAAATCAACAAAACATAAACCCAACCAAACCAAATAGCCTAAAGGTTGAACTCTAAACCTTCAATAGTGCTCATAACCATACAGGATTAGGATAAACCCCAAATTCTTTAATAGTCTCAGTCCCCTTTTGTTACAGTGCTCCTCTTTATCCTCTAAATTCTACAATCACTATCCAAAGCACCTTTCTCCCCTGTGATGAACCCAGTCGTTGCTCTCTTCATTGAACTCACTAGCACATTGTGGACCCCTTAGAATTTGCTCCTTTTCTGAATGGTATATGGTTAGGTGGCATGAGCTCTAAACTCATCAGTAAAGGAAAAGCAGCGAGAATGTATGTGTTTTAGTCCTTCCTGTACCTGTTAAAACACACAATGCCTCATGCAAGGCAGTAAGAATGGTTCCTGAAAGCTGATGGTCGCTGGGCACTATTCTGAGTGCCTTTACATGAGCACCTGAACCCATTTAGCTTTCACAACAACCCAGGGACAGGTATTATTATTTTTCCCATTTTACTGATGAGAAAACTGAGACTCAAAGAGGTCAAGTGACTGGCAGAGGCTATATCACAGTCTGTCTCCATACCCAAGCATTTCTAGCTGCAGACTCTACTTCCTCTACAGTATACCATGCTCCAGTCAACATCCAGAGATCTATGCTAATCTGTGTAAAAGAGATTCCTAGACGATGAAGCAATGTAAGCCATGAATCCAAACAAAAATATGTTTTTTTTTTTTGTCTTTTTTGAGACAAGGTCTCCCTGTAGCCCCAGCTGTCCTGGAACTCACTATGTAGACCAGGATGGCCTCAAACTCACAAAGATCTGCCTGCCTCTGCCTCCCGAGTGCTGGGATTAAAGGCGTGCGCCGCCACGCCCAGCTACAAAATATCTTTTTGATATCTCCAATGAAGAAGCAGCAGTAGTTCCTGAAAGTGAGGTTTATTACTAGGTCTGTTAAGTATCGGTTTTATAAGATTGCAGCTAAATCAAAGTCACTTAATCTTTTCGAATCCCAGCACCCACTTGGCTGACAACTGTCTGTAACTCCAGTTCCAGAGGATCCAACAGCCTCTTTTCTGTCCTCTGAGGGCACTGTACGACACGGGTGCACTTAACTACACGCAGGCAATACACACATACACATAAAATAAATAAAAAACAACGATCAGAATCTGCAAGATTAAACTAGTACTTGTTAAGATGTTTATAAAACTTATGTGAGCTCATAAGCTGGAAGAGTGTCAAGAACACGTGGGCTACATAAATGACAGGTCAAATTGCGAAACCCGGACAATTTTCTTTGCTACATGACTACTAACCAACAATTATAAAACAATATTAATAATCATGAGCATTTATTTTTTTCCTTTGTGCCAATACACTAACAAGGCTTCACTAATTTTCTGTATACCTCAAGCCCATAAAACAATCAAATAATGTTAATTAACTTGAGACAAAGAGGTAAAAAGTGTTGCTGCCTCCAGGCATAAGACTGAAAAACCAGGCAAAAAGCCTTTAACTCATTAAAGTGACTACAAAAAGCAAACAGCAGAAGAAAGTCCAAATGAAGTTCTTAAAGCTGCCAAGGACAAGTACACCCAAATGTGAGAGTGTTCTGGAATGCATTCCCTAAAAGGTCAATGACCTGGAGAGGGTAGGAGTATTTACTTTGGCAATGCCAGTCCTGACACAGGAACTGTGAGTGTCAACAGTTTGTGTGAGTGTAGAGGGCAGAAATAAGCACACGTGTTAGATAACTAGTTAGATATTAGCAAGCTTTAATTGGGGATGGACCCCAATTATAATCCGCAGCCTGTAAACCAAGGAGGATTAGTGGTCAAATGAACAGGATCTGAGTCTTACATAGTTGAAGTCATAACATCCAGTCAAGAAACTCCCAAGATTACTTATCTAGCTGCAAGCTTTCCATTTAACACACACACACACACGCTATTGTTCTTTCCCTTTTAATCCAACTGAACCTGTCAATCATCTGAATAGGAAAATATCCTTCAGAAAGCTGACTATTCCGGACATAGCATTAAGTTTAGCTAACAATGTAGGTGGGAAGAACGGTTTCTTTGACCACTGCCCCCTCACTGGCAGGAGTGCCTCATTCTATCCTGTAATAAAACTCTGCCTTCTATGTCTCCTCCAGTTCCAAGGAGATCAGAAGGTCCGGGGAGCAAAGGGAGGCCAGAGCGAGAGCCTGGTAATGCAAGTGCTGGAATCAACACAAGTTCGAGGATGTGGGTTCAGAATGGCCTCTGCAGGATCTCAGGTAGATCTCCTTATGCAAGACGCTCAAGCCTCAGCCGTGAGATAAGGCAGGAAATCCCTGAGCCCAAGGTCCCTTCCCGCCTTTCCAGCTGGGCTGTTGAGGGGAACAGCCGTTAGACTCTGAATGTGACCAAGCCCAAGATTTTAAGCATTCTTTTTTTGAAATGCAATAATGACCAGGGAAATGTGGCATTAGAGACATGACATCTCTGCAAAATGATTCCCGGGGTCCGAGAACTGTAGGCTGTCGGATCGCAAAGGCATCCTGCCCGGAAAAGGCGTCACTTCTGCCGAACCTTCTGGATCAGCCCCCTGTCCTCTTCCCACTCCACCGCAGCCCCGGCCCTCCCGAAAGTAGCGAAGCAGGCTGGGCTGGAGCACCGAGATAATCGAGATCACGGTGTCCGGCCGGGGAAGGGGCGCGAGAGGCCGACTTCGCGGAGGTGGGCGCGGGCCCGGGCGTGCAGCGGGACTCGGCGGGCTTCCCCGACCCGTTAGGAGTCGTCCCGAACCCACTCACCAGTCCGCGGGCACCCCACAGACGAAGCGCAGAAGCTGCCATCCTGGCTAACCCGTTGCTCGGTCCGCTGGGTTCCGAGCCCCAGTTGGAGCCAGTGTGGGCGGGGCAAGCCCGGGGCTCCACCCCCACCGCCCCGCGCACACCCCTTGAAGCTCCGCCCCCTCGTGCCTACGGAATCCCAGGAGGGACTTAAGTCCTCTCCGCTTGCGCCCTACGCCTCGCTCGCGCGAGACTTGGGTCAGGCCGGGGGGCGGGAAGGGAGCCCGAGACACAACAAACATGGCGGTGGCAGCTGCGACGCTGACGAAGACTGAGGCGGCCGCGGCGAACCTGGCAGTGGGGGTTCTTCGGTGCAGTGGTCAGGAGGTGAGTAACAGCCTAAGGTGAGACGGCGGCGCCGCGGGTGAGCAGTGTACGTCGCAGGCATGGCGGCAGGTGACGAGCGTGGTTCATCGCGGGCCGGTGGACACCACCCGGGCCACCGCAGGTCGTGCGCGGCCGGGCGGTGAGAGGGTCTGAACTCGGGCCGGTCCCGGGTCCGGCAGGTGGGGGTGGGAAGCTGGTGGTCGCCGGAGCGGACCGCCCAGGTTCGGGGTGCGACGCCGCCTCCTGCTCGGACCGCGGTGTCTTCTCGGGTGCAGGGCCGGGGTCGGCGGTGGCAGCCCGGGTGCGACGCTGGCGGAGGAGGATGCAGCCCCGACGCTGGTCCCGGGCTGCCGCCGGGGTGGAGTTTCCAGACAGCTCATGTGAGCTTGCCGGGATCGGTTTCTGCTGCCGGCGCCTTCCAGTGCGGGGACCGGGAGGGTTGGGAGGATGCTGCAGCGCTCGGAGAGCTCGATGAGCGGTCCGCAGTGCACGTCGGTCCGCAGCCGAGCATCGCTCTCCGCGCTCCACAGGCTTAACTGCAGTCTGACCGGTGGGCCTCTCAGGGACCACCCCATTGGGCCGGTTGAACCAGACAGAGTTGTGAATGAAGACTTCTTAGGTTGTGAGACCCTGGGAAATGAACCAAAGGAATGAGAACAGTTTAAACTACCGGGACTACTTTGAAAATTCCGTTTTAGAGTTTATGCTGCGTTTCAGCCCAGCTGAGATTAATGTGGTCTTGGCAGTTCCTTGCAGTGAATTGAGATGTTGATATTTCAGCTAATGCTAATGGTACGATTGGCACAAGTTGTTTTATTCCTTCATTAAACCTGTTGTCGCTAATAAAGTTTTGCCTTGTGTGCCTTCCTTTGCAGACCTCTGTGTGGCTTTTGAATTTTAGTTGAAATTCTCTCCATGGCCTTTTGGAGTCCTTTGGTGTGTCTCCAGAGTAAATTTCAACTATTCGACATTTCATCCATGTTGAGGTGCCAAGAAAAAAGTGGAACTAATTTGGGGTGAAAAGGTTAGATTCTATAACTCCATTTTTGGATTCCTTCTCCAATGCTTTCGTTTATTTTTTACTTTTTCATACTAGGTTTTCTGGTTTCTCAGAGCATCATCACTATATTCTTGATAGTTAGGAAGTCAAGAACTGTGTTCTAATTCTGTTGAAGGTCACTGTTACACTGTAGGAACCAATGAATATGTATTCTCTTGCTGAGTAAATCAGTGACCATAATTATTAGGTTATAGAAGTAAACACATCTGTTGAACTCTAACAACATTATATGTATAAGCCTACCTAGTCTCTGGGTTAAGTTATCATATAAATAAGTTAGTTGCTAAGTATTCTTATGGTTAGTAACTTAAATTTCAGCATTCTCCAAAAACAGAAAAAGGCTAGTTAAATGAAATATACTCTACTGTTCTCTAATTATGCTCTTGAAATTCTCCCTTCACGGAGAGGGTATGTCAAAGAGCCTCTTTGACTTTTTCGTATATTAACCTCTGTTCCATAGTTGTACTTCCCTTCTAAATCAAATCTTAATTCCTTCGTCTTAAAGTAATTAGCTCCTGCTTAAGAGGGCCTATGTTTGTATATGTGCATATGTACGCATATGTAGGATGTATCAATTATCAAAACTCAGTCCTTAGATATTTCTTTTCCTCCACTAGTTTGGGCAATCTGCTTTGTCATAACGTTTGGAAATTATTCTCTTTGGTTAATAGGACTTAGTTCAGGCTATTACAACAAATTGTATAGACTAGGTGGTTTAAACTGGCATTTGTTGCTCACAATTTGGGAGCTGGGAAGTTGAGCTCAAGCTAGAAAATGTAGGATCTGATTGCTGATAAATATCCTCATAGAGCGCAAAGCAGAGGACACTTTTCTTATGAGGGCATTAATCCTATTCTGAGGACTCTACCCTTAAAAACCCATTTATTCCCCACCTCCAAATGCCAACAATATTGGAGGTTAGGATTTCAACATAGAAATTTTAGTTAGTAGGGGTATCAACCAAAAGAATAGGTCTGGCTTGGAATATAGCATCAACATCTAGCATAATATTGAAGAATGCTTAAATATGTTTCTTTTTCCGATGACACAGTTTTACTCATTGAAATTTGTGCAGGTAATTTTTTGACTAACTCCAAGGTATTGAGTTCATAGCCAGTTAGAAAGATCCCATTTAAAAAATTATAGTTTCCCGATTTCTTAAAGTATATACAGTTGTCCCTCAGTACCCTCTGGGGTTGATCCTACGACCCCTTGCAGACACTAAAGTCTGAGAATGCTCATGTCTCTTATATAAATTGGTGTAGGACTTGTATATGACCTTCCCACATCCTTCCATATACTTTTTCTTAGATGGGGTTTTGATGTGTTGCTCACATTGATCTTAAACTGATTACAGGTGATCCTGAGTGCTGGGATTATAAGCACACACTCCCATGCCCAACTCTCCCAAAACTCTTAAGTCATCTCTGGATTACTGTCATAAATGTTTTCAGTTGTCACCTTGACAAACCTGGGAAGAGGGAGCCTCAAATGAAGGATTTTCTCCATCAGATGTGCCTGTGGCCGGTGTCTGTGAGGCATTTTCTTGTTTAGCAATTGATATGGAAGGGCCCAGCCCACTATCAGCAGTGCTATCCCTGGGCTGGTGGGCCTGGGCTTTATAAGAAAGACAACTGAGCACAGGCCAGAGGAGCAAGCCAGTAAGTTGTTTTCCTCCATGGTCTTCAGTTTCTGCCTGACCTACTGACCTGACTTCCCCCATGGTGGACTGTAACCTGTGAGCCAGATAAACCGTTTCCTCACCCAAGTTGCTTTTGGTTAGTGTTTTATAGCAGTGAAAGAAAGAAAACTAGAACAGTTATACCTGGTATGTGTAAATAGTTCTAAATTTAAGGAATAACATGGAAAAACTTGAATGTTTTCCACTCACAGTTGCATTCATGGATACAACATACTATGTTTGTAAAGGTTTTAAAATTTCAGTAGTGAACAGCATCCCCAGGTATCAGGTAACTCATTGAGTTCTTGGAGTTACGTTCACTTCTGCGACTGAAGATCATTGATAGGGAAGTTTGGACAGAAAACCTCTATTTTTTTTTTCCTCTTGGGGAGTCTTTTAGCTTCACAATTACCGTTTTTCCTTATATTGTGCTGAGATACTGACCTGTGATATAAGCTAGAGTTTGCCCAAGGACTCGACTCAAGAGTCAGGCATCTTTCATTTATGAGTCTGTTTCCTTGTTTCCTGCTCTGTTAATGTCTAGCTTTGTCACGCCTCTTGCCCACAGATATGTGATATAGATGATACAGGTCTGATAGGCACAGGGGTGTGTAGGGATGAAAGGACACCTAATCACCTAGTTTTTTTGTTTTTTTTTTTTTTTTGGTCTTTTTGAGACAGGGTCTCCCTGTAGCCCCAGCTGTCCTGGAACTCACTATGTAGACCAGGCTGGCCTTGAACTCAGAGATCCGCCTGCGCCACCATGCCTGGCTTGGACACCTAATTTTAAAACCGTGGCAGGATGTGTAAGGCTAAAACCTGTCAATATGTTTGAATTTCTAATTTAGAAACTTCATGTTTGATCATGCATAATTGATGGCAGCATACAATTTATGGCAGAGAACACAGTGAAATTTGCAGTGTGACAATGTGATAATTGTCAGGATTGTCAAAACATGTCAGCCGTCCTCTCTAATTGGGCTCATTTATGTTCTTAAACTTCAGTTGGAGATATAAAAACACTGTCTTCTGCTTGCTCTATGTCCTGGATAGCTTTACTGTCAACTTGACACACCTGGGTTGAGGGAGCCTCAATTGGGGAATTACCTTCATTGGACTGGCCTGTGGCCATGTCCATGGGGCATCTTCTTGATTGTTGAGTGATGTGGGAGGGCGCAGCCCACTGTGGGTGGTGCCACCCCTGGGGAGGTGGGCCTGTGTTGGATAAGAAAGCAGGCTGAGCAGGGGCCAGGGGAGCAAGCTAGTAAGCAGTGTTCTTCCACGGCTCCAGCTCCTGCCTCCAGGTTCCTGCCCTGAGTTCCTGCTTTAGGCTCCCTGATGAACTATGACCCAGGAGATGTAAGATAAATAAACCCTTTCCTCCCCAAGGTGGTAGTGGTCAGAGTCTTTTGTCACAGCAGTGGAGAAACTAGAACACTGAAGGAATCTTGTGTTTTTATTGCATTGCACACATTGTACTGCAGCATTTTTAGGCTTTCCAGTCAAGCTTTGGTCAGGTTTATCTTGCTTCTTGAAGCTTAGTAAAGTACACTTAGACATTTTCAGGGGAAATACATCACTTTTCATGGGAATTGACTGTCAAGAAGTAATTCAAAGTTGAAAAGTAAATGTTGGGACTTTCTCCTTAATTAGCTTTCTTGGTGTATATGTGTTCATGTGTGTATGCATGTATATGTTCAGGTGTGCATACACTTGTATGCACGTGGAGACTGGAATTTGATATTGGGCCTCTTCCTCAAGTGCTCTCCACCTTATTTTTTTGAGATGGGTTTTTCTGCTAAGTCTTCAAGCCGCAGGAGTCCTGTCTCTGCCCACCCAGCCCTGAGGTTACAGTGCCCTCTGCCACCCCTGCATCGTTCACAGGGCCTCTGGGGATTCGAACTGAGGTCATCATACTTGCGTGGCACGTTAACCGTCTAAACCATCTTCTCTATTTAAAGCATGTATGCTTTAGAACTCTAATTAAAAATGTAATATCCTGGATCTTATTCTTTTTGAAATTCGTATATCTTAGTTGTACAAAGGAGTTTTGTTATGGCATTTCCAGGCATGCATGCAATCTGCTTTGATCACATTTGTTCTTTTCTTGCCCTTTTTCTTGTCTTCTTTGCCCTCATGTCTGTTTTCATATCCTTAATAATCCCCGTTTTACTTTCATGTCTTGTGGTTTTGAAAATGGCTTTGTTTTGTTTTTTTTTTTGACAGGGTCTCCCTAGTCCCAACCCATTTGGGACTCACTGTGTGGACCAGCCTGGCCTTGATCTCACAGAGCTCCACCTGCCTCTGCCTCCTGAGGGCTGAGACTAAAGGAGCTTACTATTACACCCAGTGTAATTTTTTTTTAAACTTTAAAAAAACATTATTGAGAATTTTATACATTCATATAAGGTAGTTTGATCAAATCTATCCCCACTCCCTCATCTTAACTCCTCCCATATCTCCCCATCACTTTTTCCTGAACAACTTCATGTACTCTTTTGTTTTTTATGGGGCTTTTTGCTACTCTAACATTCCCCCCTCTGAAGCGGTAACTCTAAAATCTTTTAGGGATTAGATAAGAACTCCCAAATACTTTTGACATGTTTGGCCTTTGGAACAGAGTATGTTGCTAAGAGGCCCAAGGACATTTTGATTTTTAGCCAAAAAACTGGCTACTTTGGGGTCTTTTTACCCCAACTGCCTAGCCAATTCCTACCTCCTATTATCACACCATCCCCTGCAGAGTTTACCCAAATTGCTGACAGGGAATCGGGATGTAGACCGCTCTGGCTTCTTCCATGCTGAACAGGGACACAGGGTGAGGCAATTGGAGTACCCCTTCAGTGGGTCTATCTAAAAGACTCCCAAATTGCATAACTTTTAACTGTAGGGAGAAAAGAAGGTCCTTGACTGGTGCCTAGGAGATGTGAAGGAGAAGTAAAGGCAAGAGTACTTAGCATTACAAGTTCTAGACAGGGAACCAGAAAAAAAGTCAGGGCAAATTTCACATTTCATATCAGAGTCCATTGGAATTTCTTGACAAGGGCATCCCTCTGTTGGGTTCTTCCTCATTTTTCTTTTGTCTGCCAAGGCTGGACTTAGGATTTGTTTTCAGGCACTTTGGTAGCTGTTGGAAGGGCTAGAATCAGTGTCCGTTTCCTCACAAAGTCTTCTAGATAGGGGAGAAAACAAATTTATCCATCATTTTAGAACAATAGTGCGTTGTAGTTTAGTTCTGAGACAGGATCTCTAACTCACTATGTAGCTCTGGCTGATCGCAAAC